CATAGTCGACCATTATATCAGCCAGTTGTTCCAATCACTAATTCCCTAACATACGAATGAACCTGATCATGACAAGTTACGAGCAGATGTGGATTATCCAGGGGTCACCAGTGAAAGTCGCTATAACCGCAAAAAACGGCCTCACCGAAATACATGAAAATATAAATCATGACACTAACACAAACAGTTGGTCTCTAAAACCTTATTTTAATGCGGAAGGCAGGCTCACTGAAAATTAAGGGCTTTGGTGCTTACTGCCATAAACTTATTCATATATGCTTTGCCTCGCTATTGGAAGATAAGTGCCAGTAAGTGAAAATTACAGCAACAACAATGAAAGCCTCAGCGTTATGATCTGCATCCTGCACACTGACTACGTCATGCACAACAACTGCATCAATACAATAATACAATTTACTGCCATATATACATAAATACAATATCATGCTCACTGAATGTGTGAACAAGGTTTTGCTGGGGTTAAGTAATTCCATCTTCTGTGTTTCCGGTTTGGGTGGCATTGGTGTGGTATTTATAGTTGTATTGACACCCAAGGTTTGGTCTGCCATGGAGATGATGATTTCATGATTGTAGCAAGTCATCTGTCCAAAGGCAAGAGCATATCTCTTTGGGCCATTTATAACCCGAACCCAAAACCATTTTGGAACTAGCATATGTTTATTTGTTATATGAATTATCAAAAGCAGTCCAGGCATAATCCAGAAGTAACAGTGCCTGTATATAAACTGAATCAGATAGTACTCATAGAAGACAAGGAACAATTTTGTTAAGAGATCTGTTATCCTGGACAGACACACTACGCCCTGATGTCATACACCAAATGGTGAAATTCAGCTGGTTTTTCCAGAACTGCATAAGATTGTTCCATGCTATTACCAGCGTAATGGAGTTGACTTCTGATAGCTGATATTTCTGAAAGATGTTTTAGAATGGAATTAGCCATTTATTTGCGGGATAATACCAGGATGCCAAGTTTTGTTAGATGTCTATCTGTTACCGTTGCTGGATACAGTATCACAGTTTGATAGTTGACTGCACTATTGAATTTAAAGACCATTCGTGTTATTGTGCTCAACACCAACATCCAAAGGTCCATTTGGGTTTACAATTTCAATCAAGTGGTAACTTCAAAGTAAAAAAAAGTCTCGAAGGCTAATCCAGGTAGCTTGCTCAACTCTGAGGCTAAAAACTAGGAAACTATCCTCTGAAGTTACGAGACAGGTGCTTCCTCAATCTGATTAAAATCTGATGTAGTGTACGGGCTTTAATTATTTTGGCTATAAACTTATTTTAATTTTATTTTTTATTACTTTTGTTATTAATGCTCTTTTATTTTATTATTTTACTTTGATTTTGTGATTTGTTTTAATTCCGCCCTACCTACATCTGATCCGACGCCGATGCAAGTCCCGTTCAAATCTCGCGTAAGTAACAGCCAATCAC